GTTATGCTGGAATTTCCCTTTGCACACAAAGCAAGTTAATCCGGTATGGCTAAGTCGGGCTTCCTCATCAATCTAAGCAATTTGGTGTGCATTTTCATTAAGATATATACCAACAAACGTTTTACAAACTAGGTTTGTAAAAGTTCCCAGTTTATGTATTACTAATAACAATAATTATATTTTTTTATATTATGTGCTTTTTATACGCGTAAAACACAAAATAATTACTATAACTGGTGTTTGGTTTCAAACTCGGACAAACTAGACAAATTAATCAGATTTTATTTTTAATTGGATTAACGATTAATGTTTTAAATTAATTAAACGTAACCGCAGCCAGCGATTAACGATTAAAAAAATTTTATCCTTAATCGTACAGTTGATTACGACTAATTAATTTTAATCGTCAAACGCGATTAACATTTTACTCCTTAATTTTTAATCGTTAATCAGATTAACAGTTTGCCAACACTGTGTGAAGTCATGTTCATATTGACGGAGAAAAATGGACGTTTTTGGAAAAGAGGCGTAGCACCTCCCATACCGACTGAAAGTTTCATATTGCACATCTCTTCAAATGTTTGGGGTAAAGCACTCAAGCTTGGTATGGAAATACATATGTATGTATGTATGTAAAACTAAAACCATACTCATGGAGAAAAATGAGAGATATTGGAAAAAGTGGTGTGGCAACTCCCATGCAAATTGATTTTTCTATGCTGCATATCTCTGGAGGTGTTTATTGCAGAGGACTGGAACTTGGCACCATGTCCATACTCATGGAGAAAAATTTGCGTTATTCGAAAAGGGGACATGGTTCCTCCCGTACAAATTTACTGTTTTATACTGCTTATCTCTAAAGGTGTTCAAGGTAGAGTAATGGGACTTGGTACTGGGCTATGTAAATAATAATAATAATAGTTTGGCGCTTACACATATGTTAGTGTTTGGCCGAGCTTCTCCTCCGATTTGTGGCGTGCGCCTTGATGTTGTCACACAAAGCGGGGGGACCTACAGTTTTACGCCGACTCCGAACGGCGATTGTATTTTTATGAGAAGCTGTTTTTCATGGCAGAAATACACTCGGAGGTTTGCCATTGCCTGCCGAGGAACGACCGCTGTTAAGAAAAAACCTTTTTCCAAATTTTTTGCGATGTTGCTTTGACCAGGGCTTGAACCCAGGCGTTGCGGAGTGGAAGCGCGCACTGCTTACCACTACACCACAGCGGCCGGGGTATGTAAAATCAATTCTAAATTCATGGAAGAAGATTAGGGTTATAAGAAAAAGGGGCGTGGCACTTCCAGTACAAATTTACTTTTCATGCCACATATCCCTGCAAGTGTTTGTGGAAGAATACTGGAACTTGGTATGGAGTTGTGTATGCAAAATGTATCAATTGCTCATGGAAAAAATGTGAGTTACTAAAAAAGGAGGCATGTCGCCTCCCATACATACTAAAAACTTCTTAAAACATATCTCTGGAAGGATAGAAAATCTCTCGAAGTATTTTAAATTTGTTATGGAGATTTATTTTATAAGTGCCGTACTGACAGAATAAATTTCATTAAATGGAAAAGGGAGAGCCGGGTTCGGCCTTATAATCCAAAGCTCTCTTGAGGCATTTGCTACAGTAATGAAAAGTGGTATTTTATCAAGGCCAGGTTACTAAATTTGAGTTGGGAATATTATAACCCGCCGTGGCACCTCCAAGAAGGTTACACGTTCACGCGTCGTATACCTGGAATCATTTTAAGGTAAACTTAGAGGGATTGATATCTTTGGTATGCCTAGCGCGCAGACGAAATTTTATAATTTCATAGTTTTCAACGGCCTAAATACCATAACTCGCTTAAAAAATAACGAGCTATAACGAAATGGGCACTGAAATAAAATCTAACATCATTAAATTATTTTTCATATTTGTATAAAAGCGCGGGGTGAAACCCCCGGGTATAAGCTAGTAATATTATAAATGTGAAAGTTTGTATGTTTGGATGTTTGGGATATCATCACGCGGAAACGACTCAGCGGATTTGCATGAAATTTTGCACGCGGATAGCCCATGACCTAGATTGGAAAATAGGCTACGTTTCTTAAGAGTTGCCGCCTGTTAAAAAAGTTAAATTAAATTAATACGCGGAAACGACTGAACGGATTTGCATGAAATTTTGCAAGCAGACAGCTTATGACCTACAGTGGAAAACAGGCTAATTTTTTGGAAGAGTTTCCACCTGTTATGAGGTGGGTTGTGTCCAAGGCTGAGGTACCCTCAGCCGACCCATGGTACAATGGAGGTCCCACTAACCCCCACCAAATAAAACACAATAGTTAGTGTAATACGGAGAACACACTCACGCACACGAGGCGGGATATGGCCAGAGCGTCGGCAACCTTTCGTCCAAGAAGTGAGAGGGAGCAAGAGGAACAGCGGCTATTGGTCGGTAATGGTGAGGGCGGCAGCACTCGGTGACGGCGGTGAGCGCAACGGCAATGAGAACGACGGTGATACCCGGTGACGGCGGTGATGCCTGTGAATGTAGCGGCAATGAGAACGACGGTGATACTCGGTGACGACGGTGATACTCAGTAACGACGGTGATGCCGGTGAGCGTAGCGGAAATGAGAACGACGGCGATACTCGGTGACGACGGTGGTGCCGGTGAGCGTAGCGGCAATGAGAGCGACGGTGATACTCTACGGCGACGGTGATACCGGTCCTGGCCTGCGACGAGCGGCAGCATCGGCCCCCAATAGCGATGACGGGTAACTAGCTAGGTAATGATGGGGCGGTCCGAATACCGGAGCGGCGACAGCGGCCCTAACTCGTGGTGACGGGGGAAGCAGCGCTCCTGTTTCGCGGCGACTACTGCAATCGGCTGACGGGAGGGGCGTGATGATGGCTTCGGCCCAGGGCGGCAACGTCGGTGGCGGCCCTAATAACGAAGGCAGCGGCAGCGGCCCTAGCTTGTGGGGATGGAGGGACCAGCGCTCCTGGATTCCGGCGATTTATCGGAGGCAGCTGGCTGGGAGCGTAGTGATGGGTTGGCCTAGGGGCGGTAGTGGCCTAACTGGTGATGACTGACGGTGATAGTAGCGGCGGCCTCCCGTGACGGTGACTCGTAGCGGCCTGTAATGAGGAGACTACGGAGACTGATTAATGGGCCCTAAGCGCACACCTGTGCCGCCCCTCGTAGTTGCACACTAACGATGTAAGTGCGGAACGGTTGGCGGCACGCGTGAGTGCGATCTTCCACGACGGCCTTGGGACCTGCACGAGGGGAGTACAGCGTTGCAAATAGCAACGACAACGTCTACAAAGTGTGACGATGCATCTACACTCTGTGACGACCCCTCCTACAGTCCCCTCGGCCATGTGGCTTTCTGCGTAAGCGATAGGATTGCGCTCATCTGCCAAAAGGCGACGTACGCGCTCCCTTACCTACGGAGGCTGATAGCGGATGAGCACTTGTAGAGAACCTTATACCCGTCGTCGCGCAAGTCGGTTGCGAAGTAAGACGAGCTGAAAAAGTTTTAAAAGTTTTTGCGCAAGTGCCCAACGTACTTCCCACATATGTTTGGGAACATGCCTGCTTGTGCTTTACTTTTGCGTATTCTATTTTTAGCGCATGCTGGTGTGTGTGTATGTGCGCTGTGAATATTCTACCCATATGTATGTACATCGTATGTATATGCCTGGTGTATGTGGGTAAGCATATCGTATGTTCATACATATTTACAACGTAGGATAGATTTGTGGTAGATTGTGGCTGCAAATATTGTAGCGTAGTGAATGCTACGTTACACTGTTAAAAAAGTTTAATTGAATTAATACGCGGAAGCGACTGAACAGATTTGCATGAAATTTCGCACAGAGATAGTGTAAGAAATCTGTTAATACCCTTGTACAATAGAGGTCAGGTATTTCGTTAAAGTTATCCGGGCCACACTGGTTTTTTTACGTTACCTCGTGTCTTATTCGCTGAACTTCCGGCAGTGCCCTCTTAATCTTTTTCTATGAGGTTAGAGTTTTCGCTAGTTGGATATTGTAATCTCTTAATAATCGGAGCTGCCTTATTAAGCAATTTTACACTGGCGATGAGGACATGGACACGAGTGCGCTGGAAGCCGTTCTAAGGCAATTTCAAGAAACTAACAAAGATTTTCTAAAGAAAGTCCTCGAACAAAATGTTGCAACTATACATCAAATCTTCAATAATGAGACTCACACAAAAGGCATACCGAACTTCAGGAAGTTTGATAAAAGTATAGAAAAGTGGTCGATTTATGTTCAAAACTTAAGGCGCGCATGTTTCCTTTCATGGATTGGCACCGACGCTTATGAGTTGTTGCAAAAGCTTTGCGATAACGACATCGCCCAGAAATCTTTCAACGATTTAAAGGCAAAGTTCGAACACCACTTTACGGAAAAGCAGCATGTACTGGCAGCTCGATTTAAATTTTACTCTATGCGGATGAAACCGAATCAAAAATACGCGGACTGGGTTGCAGAACTTCGAGGGGCAGCTAAAGAGTGCATCTTCGAGTGCACAAGAGAAAATTGCCATGAAACATTCATTGATAATAGCATCCGAGACATGATCATCATGCACACCCCGCACAATAAAGTTCGGAGCGCCGCACTACAAAAGCCGAATCCAACCCTGGATGAAGTCTTACAAATTGCAACTGTGTACGAAGCAACTGTTAAAACTTGCGTGGAAATAAAAGGAGAGGAAAATAACTTAGCCGCCAACGCAGGCCGCTGGACAAAAAGTTCGTTTCGAGATAGTCAACACCAAAAAGAGCGCATTAAGTTTGGAATTAAATCAGCCATAGCCAAATCCTGTCCGGCCTGCGGCACCGCTCACCCTAGGACACAGTGTTATCATTATCAAAACAAAACCAAGTGTCGCTTATGTCAAAAGAGTGGCCACATAGCAGCCGTATGCCGAGCGGCCGCGGCGCCAGCGAAAAAGTGCACAAAACAAACGCGAGGAAAATGTCAACACCATTGACAAATTCACATTTGAGAATATTGGATCTTATTTCCATAGAAAACAAGTGTGATGTTAAATTATCTACTGAATATAATAGCAAGTCTGACAAAATTTTAATAGATATTGTGCTAAATGAGAAAAAAGTGCAGTTTCAAGTTGATACGGGCGCATCATGTTCGCTAATTGGACTGCAGACATATTCACTATTGGGAAAACCAAAGTGCGAAGCTACCAACAAAGTATTGAGAGCTTACGGGGGAGGTTTGATTGACGTGAAGGGTGCTATTAAAGTAAACGTTGAGTGGAAGGGCATCGTCAAACAAATGACATTGCTCGTCGTGGATTCACATGAGGCCTCCAACATTCTCGGTATGGATTGGTTTGGAGCATTGCATTTCAAATTATATAATAATGATCAAAATGAAGACGAAGTCATCTCTGATATTCAGGGTCAGGCATCGTCGAACGCATTGACCACTTCTCTAAAAGAAAGCACCCAGCAGTTTGCTGATATATTTTCGCCAACTTTGGGCTCGTGCACAACGTTCAAAGCTAATATTAGGTTGAAACCTAACGCTTCACCGAAATTTTTCAGACCTTATAACTTGCCATTTGCCTTACATGCTGATGTACGTGCAGAAATTGATCGACTTGTAAGTACAAACATTCTTAAACCAATAGGTACATGTGAATGGGCGGCACCTATAGTGGTTGTGAAAAAGCCAGACGGCAAGCTAAGAATCTGTGCGGATTTTAAAGTGGGTGTTAATTCTCAAATCGAAGTCGACCGGTACCCCATTCCTCGCATTGAAGAGCTTTTTCATAACCTACAAGGTGGTCAGTATTTTACGAAAATCGACTTAAGTGAGGCATATTTGCAAATAGAGTCGACCGAAATGTCAAAACGGTTTATGGTCATAACAACACCATTTGGTTTGTTCCAATTTCAAAGAATGCCTTTTGGCATTTCAAGCGCTCCGGGCTTATTTCAAAAATTTATGGAAGAGGTAATCGCGGATATTCCTCACTGCGCAGTGTATCTGGACGATATTATTGTGACGGGTAAAAACGATATCGAGCATATTCACAACGTTAATAAAGTTTTCCAACGGCTACGCCACCACGGATTACAGTGTAAACTAGAAAAGTGAGGTTTCGCACAAAAGCAAATAGAATACGTTGGTCATATAATAGACGAAAATGGTATCAAACCATGCGATCAAACGCATGCCTAGACCGAAAAACTTGCAAGAAATCGAAGCTTTTATCGGTAAAGTAAATTATTATAATAAGTTCATACATAATTTTTCAACACTCGCAGCCCCATTAAATAGATTGAGAAGAAAGAATGCAGTATTTCAATGGGGGCAAGAACAAGAAAATGCTTTCCAATCCTTGAAGAATTCGATCATTAAAGCAACCCGACTTTACATTATAACGACAAACTACCTATTTTACTCGCAGTCGACGCATCCAGATTGGGTATTGGGGCGGTGTTATCCCATCGTTTCGCTAATGGTTCGGAAAAACCAATCGCGTACGCATCAAAGACACTTAACAGCAGTCAAACAAACTATTCGCAGGTAGAAAAAGAGGCATTGGCTATAATATACGGCGTGACCAAATTTCACCAGTATCTCTACGGAAGACAGTTCGAGCTGGTCACAGATCATCAAGCGCTTAGCACGTTATTTCACCCGTCTAAAAGGCTACCGGTGATGGCATTACACCGTGTACAACGTTGGGCTATTACACTTCAGGCATACACGTATACAATCCGCTACAAAAAGTCATCCCAAAACGCGAATGCTGATGCACTCTCACGATTGCCATTGGGTGAAGATCCTGCTTTTGACGAGGTGGAGAACAGCTTGTTTACGATTGATGTAAACGATCAAGCCGTGGTAAGCGAATTTCCAATAAATGAACAACTTATTAAACAAAAAACCGAAGCTGATGAAACCCTGAAGTTGGTGCGCAAATATGTGCTTGAGGGCTGGCCTCAACGTTCGCTTGAGAAAAATCTCGAGCCGTATTTTAATCGGAACATTTGTTTATGAATACAGAATGGGGTGTTATTGCTACATACCGACTACACCAGGGTAATAATACCTAAAAAACTTCAAAGCAGGGTATTGACGATGCTCCATGACACTGGGTCAAAAGCCGCATGAAACAAATGGCTAGACGGTACGTCTGGTTTCCCGGTATCGAACAAGAAATTGATAAAATGTACGACAACTGCTCCATCTGTCAAGCGACTGCTGCACTTCCAAAGAGCGATTTTTCCATTTTATAATATGTCGTTGAGTTATCTGCAGCAACTACATCAACGACAATAGCAGCACTCCAGCGAATCATATCTGTCGAAGGACTTCCGTGCACCATTGTAACAGATAATGGAACGCAATTTACCTCCCAAGACTTTCTCCAGTTTTGCAAACGAAATTCCATTCAACACCTAACAACTGCGCCATTTCATCCTGCCTCCAACGGGTTAGCAGAAAGGTTCGTGCGGAGCTTTAAAGAAGCTTTTACAAAAATTATATAGACAGAGCACCAGACCGAGTGTGCTTTGCACAAATATCTTGCCACGTACCGAACCACACCTAACCCCGTATCCGGTCAATCACCGGCAGAGCTACTTCATGGGCGTCAACCTCGAACTATCCTCGCAGCAATGTTCCCAAAGCCTGTTCAACAACCAAAATCTGAAAGTAAATTTTTAATCGGTGCTAAAATTTGGGCACGAAACTATGCGGGGCCAGCACGTTGGGTTGAAGGCCAAATACAGCAAATGTTGGGCAAGAAGATGTATCGGGTACAGACCGATAGAGGATTATGGACGCGTCACCAAATTCAGTTGCGACTTCAAAAATCCTCATCCGCTGATTCTCCCAGCCAACGATTAGATCCGGACGACATTGAAATTGAATTACAGTCGGATAACCCCACAACACCAAAGCAGCCAATTGATTCCAGCATCGGCAGTGATGGTAAACGATTACCTGAGTTCCCCCAATCGTCAACCAGTGCCGAGACGGTAGCCCTTAGGCGTTCAAAGCGCGTTCGGAAGAGGACTGAGAGATTTGATCCGAGCGCCAACACGCCGACCTAAAATTTGAATTTTTATGTTTGTATAACTAACTATGTATATATTTGCAGTTTGATATATTTGTCATTATTTAAGTCCGGGGGAATGTAAGAAATCTGGTAATACCCTTGTACAATAGAGGTTAGGTATCTCGTTAAAGTTATCCGGGCCACACTGGTTTTTTACATTACCTCGTGTCTTATTCGCTGAAGTTCCGGCAATGCCCTCTCAATCTTTGTCTATGAGGTTAGAGTTTTCCCTAGTTGGATATTGTAATACTTTAATCAATAAAATTACCGTGAATCTCTTAATAATCGGACCCGCCCCATTAAGCAATTTTACAGATAGCTTATGACCTACGTTGGAAAATAGGCTACTATCTTAAGAGTTGCCACCTATTAGAAAAGTTTAATTAAATTAATATGCGGAAATTACTGAACTGATTTGCGTGAAAGTTTGCACACAGATAGCTTATGATCTAGGTCGGCAAATAGGATACTTTATAATTTATGCTGGAAGTTTCCTGTGCACACAAAGCAAGTTAATCCGGTATGGCTAAGTCGGGTTTCCTCATCAATCTGAGCAATTTGGTGTGCATTTTCATTAAGATCAGGTTTGTAAAAGTTCGCACTTTATGTATTACTAATAACAATAATTATACTTGTTTTATATTATGTGCTTTTTATAAGCGTAAAACACGAAATAATTACTATAACTGGTGTTTGGTTTCAAATTCGGACAAACTAGACAACTTAATCAGATTTTCTTTTTAGTTGGATTAACGATTAATGATTAAAATTAATTAATCGTTATCATAGCCAGCGATTAACGATTAAAAAATTTAATCATTAATAACACAGTTGATTACGACTAATTAATTTTAATCGTCAAACGCGATTAACATTTTATTCGTTAATTTTTAATCGTTAATCAGATTAACATTTTTCCAACACGGTGTGAAATCATATTCATACTCACGGAGAAAAATTAACGTTTTTGGAAAAAAGGCGTAGCACCCTCCCATA